AGAGAGAGAGAGAGAGAGAGAGAGAGAGAGAGAGAGAGAGAGAGAGAGAGAGAGAGAGAGAGAGAGAGAGAGAGAGAGAGAGAGAGAGAGAGAGAGAGAGAGAGAGAGAGAGAGAGAGAGAGAGAGAGAGAGAGAGAGAGAGAGAGAGAGAGAGAGAGAGAGAGAGAGATCTCGAACCCAGTGAGCGCGGCAGTGATGACTGTGCCCCATCCTCTCCGAGGATTCGTTCACCGGCTTCTCCGACTGCGCTGAGTGGTACTCGAGTACTGTAGGGCCCCCAAGGGCCTAGAAATCGCGCCTCCCTCTCCTTTTTCACCCTAAGTCAGTACTCGAGTATCTTGTTGGCAAATCAGGACACAGAGCTCACACACCCAGTAAACTAAAAGTACGCACACTTAGAGAGAGAGAGAGAGAGAGAGAGAGAGAGAGAGAGAGAGAGAGAGAGAGAGAGAGAGAGAGAGAGAGAGAGAGAGAGATGGAAAATTAAGAAAAAATGCTGGCCGCCGCGATGAGACCTTTCAGAATTTTACAACAAGAGAGAGAGAGAGAGTACAACAAACACGTTTAGTGTATGTGGTTTTGAGGGTGGTTTTCAGTGTATGATACCTGTATGTGGCTCTCGTGTCGGGCCAAAAGAAAGACAAAAACGAGGGATGGGATGAGGACAGCGGGCTACGTGGCCTTCTTTTCTGGTGTGGCTTGATCTCCGATCTCAGCGACGTCGAGTCGCCTTCGGTGGCGACAGCTAGGATGCATCTCCTCCGTCGTTTTTCGCGCACTGGCCTTGAGAAGCTGCCGGCGCACGCAGGCGGACCTTGTGTGTGCGCGGAACGCTTAAAAAGTGGGTGCTCTACGTCTAAAAGTGAGTAGATAGTGCCGAGCTGCAGCTGGCCGTGACAGCATTTTCGCAGTTTTAGGCGGCAGACTTTTTGCAACTAGTCTAGAGCTGCGCCGGTCGCAGGTTTAGAGAACTATTGCAAATTTGTAGTAGTTAGAGTAGAGCTAGGGTATCGGGAGACAGCCTTTTCCGGAAGACGACTTTTACCGAACAAAAAGCGTGAACACTGCAAAGTTGTAGAGCGCGCGGCCGCACAATCTCAATCATCAGAGACACCTCCGACGCGTTCACGCGCGCTCTCCCCGCTGGCGCCGGGGCGGCTGCTCTTCGGAGCTGCGCCTCAGGCTTGGGAGGCGGCAGCTCAGTAGCTCAGAATTTCACAACAAAGCTCCCTCGCACAACACTGGGCACGGCGAGTGCGAGAACATCCCGGAGCGCGTCAGCGCGTTGGGCGGGATCAGGGGCGAGGCCGTCAGCATTCTGGAGAATGTTGGCAGGGGCGGGCAGGCGCGCTAGCTATGCACTGCACGGCGGCGGTGGCAGCGGCGGCTAGGGATAGCCATATCTGGTGAGAGTCTCCGGGAAGAGGCTCCCAACGCACAGCTCGACGATGCTCGCGATGCCGCAGACGAAGAAGGCCGTGCGGAGAAAGTCCTCGTTGACCACGTACGCCTGCCGGGGCGACGGAAAAACGACGACGAGAAGGAGGACGGGTCATGTTGTACGTGTGGTGGAGGCGGTGGGGGGCTCGAGCAGGCATCACGCAGCAGGACTGCGGGCGCGTCTGGCTCTCCTGCCTGCCTCTTTACGCACTCTTCACACACCGGGGCCGACTGCAGCAGGCACAGCGGGCGCGTCTGGCTGTCTTGCGGGAGGCGCGTCGTTGGTGTCGCTGGGAGGCGGCGCGTGTCGCACAGGAGGGGAGGCGGGCGCCGCGGGGCACGCGCCCTCGTTCAGGGCGGCGGCGTGCGGCCCGTATCTCGGCTGCATCTCGGTTGTCGGTTGTATCTCGGCTGTATCTCGCGCCGCAATGTAGGCGACTCGCGCAGCGAGGAGGAAGAGGGAGAGCTTCGCGCAGAGGGGCGGCGGTAGCTCGTGCGCCGACGCCATCCAAAAGGCGGGCGTCACGTACGCGAGGCACTCGATGCTGTTGTTGTGCGCGCACTGGAGCCGGTAGACGGCGGGCAGCTCCTCGGACAGCGCCGGCCCCTTGAGCACGCGCGGCGTGTGGTTGTCGTAGTGGCCGCCTGTCAGGCAGTGGTGGCTAACGGCTGGGCGCCAGCGGCACGAACGCTCTGGGCGCAAACGGCAGGGACGCTAAGCTGTGGGCGCAACGGCAGCCGGTTCGGGTGATGCACGCGTACCGAGGAGGTTGATTGCGACGATGGCGACGAGGCCGGAGCCGGCGGCCAGCGCAACGAGGAGAAACGCGACCAGCGCAGGCACCTTGGCTACCGGCACCGGCAAGGCATCGAGCACAGAGTCAGAGACCGGACTTGTGACGAATGTGTAAGCCGCAAAGTGCGCCGCGGGTAGCAGTAATGGGAACAAGGCCAGCCCCTTGATCACGCCAGCATATCCGGTGGCCGAAAACGTGAGACCAAAGGTGGAGAAAAGTCCCATCGGGCGGGCTGTGAGTAGCGAGCTGTCTTCTCCCAAGCGCGCCGCTCCGTCGCGCCACTGGGTTCCAACATTTTTCGGTGTGGGGTATGGCGCATTGCCGCGGCCCAAAGGGTGGGGGGGTATGGTCCTGCCCGCCCGAGGCGGCAGCCGGGAGGCTGGGTCTGTCAGCAGGCGGGGGGAGTATGGTCTCGAGGTGGGTTGCGCGATGGTACCATATCCATACCATACCCCGCAAAAAGTCCGAACCCTGCCGCTCCCGAAAAAAAACTTTAATATCTTTCCCGCCTGGGCGGGGCGGTAGGGCGGCGGCGTGTGTGTGCGAGTGACTGCTATGTGTGTATCGCGCGCCTTGCGGGGGAGGCGCGGATAAGAGGAACCTCTTAGCGCCATCGCCGCATCGCCCGCGGCATCGCCACCAGGTGCGCGGCTACCAGGGACCATTGGTATTATTAACAACGAAGGGCGCTCTCAAAAAAAAAGCCGCCTGTACTAGGCATACCGCTAGAGCCAGCGAGCGCGCGCCAACGCGCGCTGTTGTGGAAAAGAAAAAAAACGTGACAACACACTACAACTCCTACAAAAACTTTACAAAACGGCGAAACGGGGCCATGGCCGACGCTCGCGATGGCCCGTCCGTTGCGGCCAGGCTCAAACTGTGCGCGCAAGCCACAGGAGAGGCGGTGGCGCCGCAAGACGAGGCGATGATTCGCATCCTCTCGCAGCTCGCCGTGGAGCGCAACTGGTGGAGCTTCAGCGTCAACCCGACGCCCATGGGCAAGCAGTTCATTGTCCAGCCCCAGTCCCAGTGGGAGAGGGACAGGGAGCGGCAGCAGGCCAAGGAGGGCAGTGCCCCACCGCAGCCTGTGCCTGCTGCCACCTCCGCCGCGGCACCGCCCGCAGCACCGCCTGCCGCCGCTGCAGCTCCGGCCGCAGCACCGCAGGCACACCCGCAGCACCAACAGGTGCAGCAACCCCAGCCCAACGAGTCGCCCGAGGGGTGGACCAGGGTTGGGAAGGGCGGCATGCCGGACAGGTTCACCATGAGGAACCCTGGCCGCAAGCCGCCGGGCAAGGCGGTCAAGCGCAAGCCTGACCGCCAGCCCGCACCCAAGGGAGGTGGACCCCCACCCCCCTCTCCCAAGGTGAACAAGAACAGGCTGAGCGCGCTGGGCGCTGGCCCTTCTGGCACCAGCGGGAGCCACGAGCGCGCACCGCCGCGCTCCCCCTCCCCCTCCTCGCCGCCTGCCAAATCACCGCGGCCGTCTGTGCCTGCTTCCGAGTATGACTCCGAGTTCGACTTTTCCGACGCTGAGGCGCAGGATAGGACGGCAGGGGTCGTACACGACGCAGTTCAGCAGGCTGTGATGCAATACGGCTATGACGACGAGCTCTTCCAGGCGTGGAGGGACGGCGAGATACGGCGAAAGGACTTGCCGGAGGAGGTGGTGGCTATGGCTTTGGACCTTTGCGAGAGGTGGCGAGCGGAGCAAGAGCGGTGTAGGCGCGTCCACGCGGCGCAGCGGCTCTCCCGCGACCCCGGCCCCTCTCATAGCCGCAGCCGTAGCCGCAGCCCCAACTCTTGCCGCTCTTCCGTGTCGGGTTGTGACGAGGGGTGAGGGGACACGGATTGAAGATCCCTCACACCAAGATCGTGCAGGGCGGGGACACATGTCCCTAAATCCCATCTCGTCTCAGAGTTTGCCCGTTTTATTTATTTATTTACTACAACTCCTGCGCCCACACCTCCATCTTCTTGGGCCGCAGCTGGTTCGACAGGTCCTCCCTGTGGCCTAGGCAGCCATCGCCGCCCTGGCCCCAGGAAAAGACAGCGCCGTCGGCGGTGAGGGCGAGGCTGTGGCGGGTTCCAGCCGACACAGCGACGACGCGCCGCCCAGCAAAGGCCTCGATCTTCTTTGGCAGCAGCTGGTGCTGCTGGTTGCCGTGGCCCAACCTGCCTTGGTGTCCGTAGCCCCAGCTCCAGACAGCGCCGTCGGCGGTGATGGCGAGGTTGTGGTCGCCTCCCGCCGACACAGCCACGACACGCTGGCCAGTGAAGGCCTCGACCTTCTTGGGCAGCAGCTGGCGCTGGTGGTCGCCGTGGCCTAGCTGGCCTCGCCCTCCATGGCCCCAGCTCCAGACGGCTCCGCCGGCGGTGAGGGCGAGGCTGTGGTACCATCCAGCCGAAACCGCGACGACATGCTGGCCAGCAAAGGCATCGACCTTCTTCGGCAGCACCTGGTCCTGCGCGCCGCCGTGGCCCAGCCGGCCATAGGCTCCATGGCCCCAGCTCCAAACGGCTCCGTCGGTGGTGAGGGCGAGGCTGTGGTACAGCCCAGCCGACACAGCGACGACGCGCTGGCCAGCCAACGCCTCGATCTTCTTTGGCTGCCACTCGGTTTGCGCGTCGCCGTGGCCCAACCGGCCGTCGTCTCCAGAGCCCCAGCTCCAGACAGTGCCGCTGCCGGTGAGGGCGAGGTTGTGCCATGTTCCAGCCGACACGCTCACAGCGCGCTCGCCGCCCAGCGTCGACGGAAGGCGGGTCGGCGTGTTGAGCCGCGTCACTCCCTCGCCGTGGCCTAATCGGCCGTCGTCTCCAGAGCCCCAGCTCCAGATAGCGCCGTCAGCGGCGAGGGCGAGGCTGTGCCCGGCGCCAGCTGCCACGCTCACAGCGCGCTCGCCACCCAGCGAAGTAGAAGAGAGTCGGGTCGGCGTGTTGAGCTGCGTCACGCCCTCGCCGTGGCCGAGGATGCCTGGGACGTGAACCGGCGCAGAGCCGCACGACGAGAGCCGCCCCTCGCCGTCAATGAAGAGGCTGTGGTGCATGCCTGCTGCACGCCTCGCCGGCGGGTTGGACTTGCGCAGCAGCGCCGCAAAGCACAGCCACCGCACGGCGCAGCCCTCGCCCTCTGGCAGCGCCGGCAGCTCGAAGCCGCGCTCTTGCGCCCACAAGCGGATGGCCTCCACCGCAAGCGAGCCGTGGAAGAGCAGCGAGACGGCCGCGACGCGAGAGATGTCGGCGGGGTCGCAGCGAGAGAGGGCGCGCACGAGGAGCTCCGTGGGGAGGTCGAGGAGGCGGGCGGGCGGCGGCGTGTCTGGAGAGGGCGCAGCGGTGGAGGCGGGGGCGAGGCGGCGCGAGCGGCGGCGCGGTGGGGTGGACATATACAAGCGAGAAAAAGAATTTGTCCGCACCTACAACAGAAAAGCAAAAGATCTCCGCCCGTCGCCTTCAAACCCCGGCGGAGGCGTTGGCCCCCTGCGCTGTGCGTCCCGTAATTCAGAGCCGCACCGCGTCGGCTGTGTATGCACCACCCGCGCAACCAGGAGCGGCTCGCCCTCAAGCCGTCGCGCGTCAGCATCGACCAGGACAAGCGCCCCCCATCCCCTGGCACCAAGCCTGCATCTGCCAGGCGGCCGGGTGTCGGCGGCACTGCACGCGGTGGCTCGGTGGCGCGAGTGCCAGTGGAGTACGTGGCGAATCTGCAGCAGCAGATCTTCTTCCTCGAGCGCAAGCTTGAGGCGGTGGGCGGAGTCGACGAGCCGGGCGGCGGTGGCAGCCTCAAGCCGGGAGCGGGAGCAATCGCTCTCTCGGGCGGGCTCCGCTCTCAGGTCTCACGCTCCCGCCACGCATGCACACCGCGCGCGACCCGCATCTCGCGCATTGCCGATTGAGACCCGATCGTCACGCCTGCCCGATCACCACGCGCTTGCTCCCGTCAACCGAGGTAGCCAAGATGCTGCCGCTGTGGCTAGGGAAGCCTCACATACATTGCCCTCCGCCCTCAGATCCACAGCCTCGATGCGGAATACCGGGCAGCGGTGCGATCGCATGAGGCGCAGCTGCAACAGCTCGCGCAGGAGCGCCACGTCGCGCAGCTCGCCGAGGCGCGCCCTCTCGGGCCGGGACACCGGCTGCATTGCACACACGCTCGTCACTCGTCTCAACGTGAGCAGGCGCGCGCCCTCGAGCGGCTGGGCGAGGCGGCGCGGCAAAGCGCCGAGGCGGACGCCGAGGCGGCGGCGGCGCGGCAGGAGCTAACGGCCGAAGTGGTGGGGCTGCAGCAGCAGCTCGACCGCGCGGGCATCGAGCACCGCGCGACGCGCGAGGAGCTCAAGGCTTCCGCCGCCGCCTGCGAGGACCTCCGCCGCCTGATCAGCGGCGCCCCCGCGGAGGTGAGGCGGCTGGAGTCCAAGGTGACGAACCTGCAGGCGGAGCGCCTCCTCAGCGAGGGGCGCGAGGAGGCGTACCGCAGGCGGCTGGCCGAGGTGGAGAGAGATCACGAGGCGCTCAAGCTACAGCACGAGCACGGCGTCGCCAAGTGGGACCGGAGGCAGCTCGAGGTGGACCGCGCCACGAGGGAGGCGCTCGTGGATGCGACGAGGAGAGCGGAGCGGGCGGAGCTGCGGCTGCGGGAGGAGGAGGAGCGGTACCGGCTGCTGGGCGAGAGGCTGGACGCGGCAGTCGAGGGCGAGTCGCGCGCGGTGGAGCGGGTGCACGAGCTGGAGGCGCGCCTCGAGTACGCCGAGCGAGACCGCGACGAGGCGATCGAGCACACGGAGAAGAACAAGATGGTGTCGGTGCTCTCGCGCATGATTATCCGGAAGACCCGTGAGCGGATGGCGGAGGCGGAGGCGGCGGCCGCCCGTGTCGTGGCGGGGCAGGACGCGATGAATGACCGAGTGGTGAGCGCAGACGGGGCCCGGAAAGCAGCGCGCGCGACGCAGCTGCCAGTGAGACGAGTTTGCGCCATAGGTGCACGCGGAGGAGGTCCGAGAGGCGATCGACCGGGAGCTGTCCCAGGCGCGCGGCGCGCCATCAAGGCCTGGAGCCACACCGCAGGCCTCACACCGCAGGCCTCACCGCCCGCAGGAGCGGCAGCGGCACGCCATCGAGAGGGAGCACTATGCGCAGCAAGACGAGGAGGCGCGGGCGATGACGGCGTGGAACCGCGAGCTGGAGGCGCAGCTGCACACCATGGGCCGGCATTTGCGCGAGGCGCGGGAGACGCTGGCGGAGGCGGAGGGCCGCGAGCATAATGCCACCGCCCGGCTCAAGGCGGGGGGTGTAGCCGAGATGTAGCCTGGATCGCTGCGCCATCGCCAGGCTCAAAACGGGTGGGCGAGGGTGCCGAGCCTACGGATGACGTGTATGCATGACCCCAGGTGATCGAGGGGCGGCACGAGGCGCTTGTCCTGCTTTCGCAGCTCAAGGTGGACCCAGCCTCGTCTGCACGTCCTCCGACCGCGGGATCGCGCCGATCAGCTCGGTCACCGCGGACGACGCCTCCTTTTTGCGCCCGAACTTGTGCAGCGCGGTGGCGTTCAGCGCGGCCGCGTGTTTGTTGGCCGGCAAGTTCCGCATCACCTCGCCGCTGCTGTCGATGGCTTTCTGGAAGCTGTTTTGCGCCAGCAGCAGCACCGTGCGCTGCAGCAGGCACTTGCCGCGAAGCTGGGGCGTGCCCTCCTCAGCCTCGCACAGCTTGAGCGCCCATGCGTTCCAGCTCAGGTCCGACATGCCATCGCTCTGCGAGAGACCGAAACCCACCGCCTCCTCCAACCCCGAGATCATCTGCACCTCCATCTTATCGCCTGCCCCCACCTCCATCTTTGTGCCTGCCCGATTCTCGAGTAGCAGCTGATACTCTAGCAGCGAGAGCCCGATCACCATCACGCAGCGCTCCCTTATCAGCACTACTCGCCCCCCCGCCTTGACCCCCTCGGCGCCGCCCAGTAGCGCAAGCTGTTCAAAGAGCACCTCCGGCACCCGCCCCAGCAGCTCGCGCAAGTAGAGCATCTTGGGCGGCCCGTCTGGCTTCCTCTTTGCCGACATGCGCGCCTTGACCACCGTGTCCAGCAGGAAGTAGTAGCGGCGGCAGAGCTTGGCGCTTTGGATGCCATGCTTGTGAACACTCGCACGGATCACCGCAAAAGCCAGCTCGTGGGCTCCCCGTCGGAAGCCCTCGTCCGCCACGCCGCAGCAGGCGTCGACTGTCACGCTTTCCGCCTGGTTGTCGCCCGCCAGCGCTGTGACGCGCTCAGCCAGCGCCTCGCCGATCTCCTGCGACGCGGCTGCCGCAGCTTGAGAGGTCGAGGCCATATAACCAACGTATATCGGCCCGGCGGTTACCTCGGGTCGTAAATAAAGAAAAAAGAAACTTGAGGTCAGCGACCGCACTCCAAGTGCTCCAAGTGGCGCATCTACTGTGAGATGGGTAAAAGGAACAGGTCCCCGCCCGTGCGATGTTTGTGCAGGGTTCTTTGTGGGTGTGATCGGCGACTAGCCGGGGTCGTCCTCCCGATGGGGGACTAGCACTAGCCGTCTTCCACATGGTCCCTCGGTCGTAGTGGGGTGCTCCAGCCCGCCGACCACAAAGTGCGCACCGACGTAGTCGCCCGCCGCGACGCCGCCCTCCGCCACCGCCGCGTGCGTCGCACCTAACGCCGACGCCGCCAGGCTGAGCGGCGGCGGCGCACTCGCGCTCACCGCCTCGCTGTGGTGCGCCGCGCCGCCGCGGGCGGGCGGCGCCGCCTTGCCAACCGGCTTGCCGTCAGCGGCTGCACTCGCGCGGCGCATGGTGCCCGTGCTGCCGTCAGCGGCGGCGGCGGCGGAGCGCGCGAGGCACGCCTTGCGCTTGACGCCCGGCCCGCCGAAGCGCGGCTTGTCGACGCAGTGCGCGCACACGCCGCAGTCGTCGACGGCGGCGGGCGCTGGCCGCCTGGCGGCCGTGCTGCCGTCAGCGGCGGCGGGCGCTGGCCGCCTGGCGGCCGTGCTGCCGTCAGCGGCGGCGGGCGCTGGCCGCCTGGCGGCCGTGCTGCCGTCAGCGGCGGCGGGCGCTGGCCGCCTGGCGGCCGTGCTGCCGTCAGCGGCGGCGGCGGCGGAGCGCGCGAGGCACGCCTTGCGCTTGACGCCCGGCCCGCCGAAGCGCGGCTTGTCGACGCAGTGCGCGCACACGCCGCAGTCGTCGACGGCGGCGGGCGCTGGCCGCCTGGCGCCCGCCGGCGCCGCTGCCGCGGCGAAGAGGCCCTTCACCGGCGTGGGCCCGCGCTCCACCTCCGCGCCGCGTGCCGACGTCGGCTCGAGCGACGGTGGCGGCGGAGCGGCGGCGGCGGCAGCGGCCAGAGGGCTCGCGGCCCGCTGTCGCTTGGCAGCTGCCGCCGCCTCCTTGGGCGCGGGCGAGGCCGCCCTCTTCGCCGCCGGTGCGGGCGACGCCGCCGGCTCGCACGCGGCGCAGTACCACTCGCCGTCGGGCACGCGTGCGAGCGGCGCGGCGAGGCAGTACGTGTGGTACGCGCCGTCGCAGCCGTCGCCGTCGCAGAGCAGCATCAGCTCATCGTCCTCGCCAGAGCCGCACGTGAGACAGACGATCGAGTCGGCGCCCTCGTAATGGTCAACGCCCTCGGCGGCGTCAGCGATCGCCTCGGCCGTCGCGCGGGTGGGCCACACTTCGGCGTGCGCGGCGGCGGTGAGGTCGACGCACACCTTCGGCCGCGCACCGACGAGGAGGGTGGTGGTGGTGGTGGCGGGGTGGTGGTGGCGGTGACGAGCATGGTGGTAGTGGTGAAGAGAGGGTAGTGGTGAAGAGAGGGTGGTGGTGAAGAGAGGGTTCTTTTTTTTTCGCTTGCCTGCGCGGCGAGGTAGGCCTGCACCTCCGACCGGCTCACGCGCTCCGGCTCCGCCGCCTGCTCCGCCGCCGCCTGCTCCGCCGCCGCCGCCGCCACCGCCGCGCGGTCGGGCACCCACTGCGCGTCACACCCTCCAGCCGCGCGCGGCTTTGCACAACGCCACCAGCCGCCGGCAGCGAGCGCGTCGCGGCGCACCCACGTGCACGCCCTCCCGCACTCGCACAGCGGCGTGCGCGGCAGCGGCGGCGGCCGCTCCTGCTAAAGCCAGCCGCCGCCGCCGAAGCCGCTGCCGTTGCCGCTGCGCGCGCCGCCGACGTCGTCGTCGTCGTCGCTCGCGGCGGCGGCGCACCACCAGCGGCCGCGCAGCCACGTCGCCGGCAGGCGGCACAAGCACAGCGGTGGCGGCGCGGGCGGCGCGCGCACCGACGGCACCGAGAGCGGCGGCAGCTCCGCCTGGTACGCCTCGCCGAGCCTTGGCTTGGCGGCTGCGCCGCCGCTCGGCGACGCGGCGCTCTCCGTGGGCACCACGAGCCACGCCGAGCCGCCGCCGCCCACCACCACGCCGGCCGCGGCGCGCGCCGCCGCGCGGCTGCCGAAGACGGCGCCGCTCGGCGAGAAGTAGCGGTAGTGCGCGCCGCCGCGCTCGGCCACGCGCCAGCCGAGCGCCGCCGCGCCGCGGAAGAGCGCTCCGTCGATGCGCGCCTCCGGCCACATCGCCGCACCACCACCACCACCCTCCGGCCGCCCGCCGCGCGGCCTGGTGGACGCGGACGCGGAGGACGCGGAGGCCGCGGAGGCCGCGGAGGCCGCCTCCGCCGCCGCCGCCGTTGCTGTCGTCGCTGGCGGCCGCGGCGGCGGCGGCGGCGGCGGCGGCGGCGGCTCGAGGCTGATTGCGTGCGCGTGCAGGTGCTGCCGGCGGTCGGGCGGTAGCGCGGCGGAGTGCGCCTTGCCGCCGAGCGTGGCGACGAGCTCGACGAGGAAGCGCGGCGAGCGCGCGCGCACGCCGAGCAGCCGCGCGCGGTAGCACGCGCCGTCGCCCGCGAACGCGAAGCACTCGCTGCGCCCCTCCTCCACGCGGCGCAGCAGCGCGGCCTCGTGCGCCGCGTCGTCCACACCGCCGCCGCCACCCGCGCGTCCGCCGCCACCACGCGCGGAGGCGTCGGCGAAGCGCGGCTGCTCCACCGCGACGAGCCCGAGCTTGCGCTTTACGGCCGGCAGCGAGAAGAGCTTCTCGCCGTCCCGCGGGTCGATCATCACCAGGTCTCCCCGCACTGAGTGGCCCCTCTTCTTGTTCGCCTTGCTGCCCTCCCCAGTGGACGGCTTGCGCAGCACGTACGAGATCGTCCAGCCGTGACACGAGATCGTCCGAGTCTCCAGTGCGCTCCTCAGCTGCTCGATGGCCACGATGAGCGTCTCCGCCTCCTCGGCGGTGAGAGGCGGGACACGGTCGTCGGCGCTCGCGGAGCTGGTGCTGCGAGGACTGAGAGGAGTGGGCACGACAGCAGCGCTCAGGGTCGGTGCTGGTTCGTCCAGGGAAGCAGCTCCTACTCTCCCGAGGCAGCCCTCTGGCAGCGACTCGGCAACAGCAAGCTTGACGCCCACCGGCTGCTCCCCAGCAAGGCCGTCTGGCACACCGTCTCCGGTCAGCAGCTCAGGGCATTCGCGAACGAGATTGAGCTCGTCGGTGCCACTGCTGGCTGCCTCCTGCATCCTAGCGCCCTCGTCCATGCCGTCGGCTTGCCAGAACACAAGCCAGAGGAGAGTGAGAGATCGAACAAGTTGAGGGCGGGGCACTACTCCAATGTGGGTAACTATATAGTCCGTACCGTCGGGTACTTATTTTAAGAGCAGGTAAACAGCAATAGATCCGGCCCTCAAGCGGCCTAATCGATACCCAGCCCTCACGGAATCGGTCCCTCGTTGTACAGCAATCGATCCTTCACACTGCCCGCGCTGCCAAACTTGCTGAGAATCGGTCCCCCCACCTGTGGCGCGAACCTGATATGACATATGTCTCCCGCGCTCGGCGCGCCGACCGCGCAGCGGCGGCAGACCACCCTCCGGTTCGAGGGGCGCCTGGGGGTGAGCGGGCTGCCTCCGCCAGAGTTTGGCTCGCCCACCGACGGGCTGCCTCCGCTCGCCACCCTGCCACGGGTCGCAAGCCCTCTGCCGGAGCAATTGGTCCCTTGGCAAGCGCGAATCGGTCCCCCTGGCTCCAGGAACTGATCCGGCACTACACCCGGATCTATTGCTGTTTACCTGCTCTTAAAATAAGTACCCGACGGTAATACACGGTACTATGAACTCTCTCTCGAGGTTCTCGAGGTGGATATCCTTTGGCCGCGTTGGGTAGCGAGGATTGGTGTGACGCGATCCACGCAGGCGTGTTTTCTGGCGGCCGACAGTACTATGAACACAGAAGCCCATAAAAGTCGCCGAGTCGCCACGGAGCCAGCCTGCTGCCGGCTCGCACGGCAGCCTCTGCCTCTCGACCAGCCTCAACTTCTGTACATTCAACATTTTGTCGCTGCGTGCTCCGTGGCGAGCTGTGGCGGCGGTCGAAGTTGGCCCAGATTCGACGACGAGCGCCGGACGATAGTAGTGTCTCTGTTCGCCCTGTGCATGTCAGGTCAGGCTGCAGCAGGGCACCACCATCGTGCTGCCCTGTTGCAGCCTGACTTTGCCCACTGTGCACAGTCGCCAGAGCAACGGGGAGTGAGAGGCCCCGCAACGAGGAGTGCGTTTTGGGGATGCAGAGCGTGCAAGGCAGCTAGGGATGAGGCTGCAAAAGAGGCGCGCGAGGCAAGGAGGAGAAACGGGGAAAGGAGGGACTGGGACGATTGGAAACATGAAGACAGTGCGCCACCACAGGCGTCGCTGGCGCACATACTGAGCGGCAGCTGCGCTGGCAACAAAGTAGCGGCACGCGGATTCACATGCGGGAGCTTGACAAACATGCGGCGAGGGCGACGGCAAGAGTCGAACGGGCGGCACCCGACTCGAAAGACACAGCCACATTCCTGAGACGCGCGAGGGCACGAGCCTCCTTAAAGGCGATAGGGTCTAAATTTGGAGCGCTCGCAGAAGAAGAGTACGACGAAATAGCGCCTGTGATCGCCTGCACCCTACCCGCACTAACAGACTCCATGCCCGAAAGAAAGAGAAAGGAGCTCGCAGGAGAGGTGAGGGAACTACAGATAGTGGGGAATGCAGCCTCGGTCGCTTTACGGACATGGGTACGGAACAACGACAAGACAAAGGCACGGGCGGAGGAACGGGAGAATAATAAGGGTGGATAGGGCGTATGTTTAAGGCATGGAGGAAAGTTCACACAGAACGTAGAGAACGGGAGGCAGCCGGGGAAGACGACGATGAAGAGGACGACACACCAGTGGTGATCCCGTCGTCGGCTGTCACGACATACCCGAAGGGAACCCCGGTGCCGACGCCTTCCATAATGGAGGAGGCGGCGCGGGTCGTGGCAGGCACAGGCGCGGGTGGGGGTTGGGCGGGGGCGGAGCCGGGAGCGGCTCGCGGGTTAGTCCGGTGGGGGGGGCGGGGCGGGGCGGGGGGGGGAATCGGGTCGGGTCGGGGTACACTAACGCCTTTTTCGTCTTTTTTTCGAATGCCTGTGGTGCGCTAGCCGTCGCCCACCTTGTTGTGCAGGCATTGTAAAATTCTTTTTTCTTAGAGTTGTATTTTTTCAATTCTTTTTTCTCGACAAACCCAAGTAGACTGCCGATCGCGTGTGGCCTGGTCCGCAGAAAGCTCAGACACACGAGCAAGGGGGGGGACAAGCGTAAAAAGGGACGGAAGCCGAGAGCGCTCGCAAAGAGGACGCGGCGGCGGCCAATGGCCACATATCATCATCACCGCTCGCGCCACCGCCCTCTCCCGCCGTCCCTCCGCCTCTGGCTACCCGCGACGGCGCCGCCCGCGACCGCGACGGCGCCGCTATGCCGCTCGGCGGCGATCGACTGCAGAATGACACGCCGCCCATGCTGCTCGGTTCGCCGCCGCTGGCTCCCCGCGATGGCTCCGCGATGCAGCCCGGTGGAGGACAACTGGAGATGGACGAGATGGATGAGGAGGGAAGAACCCGCCACCACGCGCGGATGTGCGCCGCCCCCCTCCCTCTCCCACCCCACCCCACCGCTGCCGTGTCTCGGAATGAGGAAGCCGGTCTGAACCGACAGCCAGCGCCACTACGCGTGGGCCCGAGCGTACGAGTTCTCAGTACAAAAGACCGGGTTTATCTCTCAAAACGTCCTCCTCAACCGTCACCCGGCCCTTCTCTCCGCTCGCGTGCGTTTATGTTGACATGCGCGGGCCCATCCGCGGGGTGCACGCGTGCAGGCTGAACAACGGGCTCGCGCTCGCCTCTCAGAAGGTTCAGACGCCAGACAATCGGGAGATGGACGAGATGGATGAGGAGGAAAGAACCCGCCACCTCCGCAGGCTCCGCAAGCGGGTAGCGGACTCCAAGTTTCCGGCCCCACCGCCTCTGGATTTTTCCCCCCGGCGTTGCAACGGCGCGTGCCCGTCCCGGCCGCGCCGAAAGGCCGTCCCCATCGTGCCTGGGGACCCAGGCCGCGGCCGAATGCACGTCTTCCCCAGACTGCCGCCATGGCGCATTGCTGGCTGCCTCGAGGGCGCGGAGCTCGAGGCCGCACGGGCGGAATGGCATGCTATGGACAAGACCGACGAGCGGGAGGCGATGCGCCGCGCCCGCAACCTTGCAATGAGTCGCTCAGCGCCGCATCGCGAGGGTGACTCCGCACGCCGAGCCAAGGCGCGGCGCGAGAAGAGAGACAGAGAGAGAGCTTTTAGCAATAACATTTAACACCTCGCCCCAGCGTACCACCCCCCCGCCCGACCGGGCGTCTACTTGGGTTTGTCCGCGACACATCGCGGGAGATACAGCCCCCTCTCTCGCGCGGCCCGGGGTGCCCATCCAATATCACCCCCGCCGGGGCGTGAATCCAAAGCCGAGACTTTCCTCGTACACGTCACGCCACCGATTGCACGAGGAGAAAGAACCCATGACGATCGACGTCGTTCTCCGCAGCGTGCCTCTCCACCTCACCGACGCCCAGCTGTGTGCTCTCCTCGGCGTCGAGACGGTCACCCGCTTCCGGCGCACGTCCGGCCCGTCCGAGAAGCAAAATCCTCTCCACCTCGTGCGGGCGTGCTGCCGAAGCGAGAGTCAGGCGGAGCAGCTTCTGCTGCAGGGTCGCGTGAGTCTTGACGGGCAGGAGTGCGCCGTGGAGCGACCAAAGGCGGCCTCAGACAGCTCCGCACCCCGCGGCGCGTACCCGGCCTTCACGCCTTCGGACGAGGCGTGGCTTCTGCGGCACCACCGCGCCAAGGTCGCGCACGGTATCGCCGAGATGTCGCCGAGATGCGGTCGCTGGAGGAGGGAGGTTGAGGTTGAGGTTGAGGTTGAGATTTGAGGCTGGGGGGGTGGGGGGGGGGGTGGGGGCAGAGGGGGGGGGTGGGGGGGGGGCAGAAAAGCTGAAAGCGAGAGCGAGAGCGAAAGCGCGGGGGGCGGGGGGGGGGGGTCTGATTCCCCTACCCCTT